CCGGTATCCATGAACAGAATTATAAAAAATATCCAAACTGATGTAAACCTTTACCATATATGAAGAGAAACAAGAGTTAGTTTTACAGGAATCATTTTCAAGAATCAGCCGAATGATAAATAAATAATGAACGGGGAATCTAATCAAATAAAGGTACCCACTAAAAATAACTTTTGAAGGAATAAAATGTCGACTAAAAATAAATCTATCGATTCTCCTCTCTTTCACTTTCTCTTTGTATATATACATATATATATGCAGATGTCACAACAATATTTTTTACACAACGGTCTATTAACGCCAGCTACCAGCAACACTGGTAGTCATATACGTCCATTTTTTTGACATTATCCAACCAGTTTTCACGTTGGCACCCTCCCTTACGTCCACATTCAGCGTTGCCTTGCATGGTGGTCTTGCACAGGATGTCGTTCCTTGCAATATCGTGCCTTTTAACACACACACACACACACACACACACACACACACATATATATATATATATATATATATATATATATATATATATATATATATATATATATATATATATATATAAAGCACAAATGAGATATGATTTTCCCTTACCTGATTTGCTACACAATAGCCTGTGATAGCATGCATTAATGTAAAACGAAAGGCACCATCCACTGCTGACCCTCATTTATCGTTCACAATTGGAGAGTTCACTATATATATATATATATATATATATATATATATATATATATATATATATATATATATATATATATATTATATATATATATATTGAATAAATCCTAAAGAGACAGGCAAACGAACCTAAAGGGATCTTCAGGGTAAACTGGCTAAAAAAGTAAATGACGGAACAGTATTTATTGATAAAACCATTATAAACATAAAAAAACTAATAAGCATTAAACCCAAGTGAGAGAAGAAGAGAAAAAAAGAATCTAATACCATAGAAAAGCCTGGTTATTAGAATAAAGGCTTTATATATTTTTTTTCTCTTTTCTTCAGTTACGTGGTTTTAATGCTTATAATTTCTTTTATGTTTTTTATGGTTTTATCAATAAATACTGTTCAGTCATTTTCTTTTTTAGACAGTTTACACTGAAGATCCCTTTAGGTGAAACCTATGTTGGTTTGCTTGGCTCCTTAGTATTTATTCTAGTTTGTCGCTCTACTTAGCGTATTGAGCCCACTACGTTTTAGTCTTTCTACTCGTTTGTTTTTTTCTTTGGACTAAAGACCTAAAGCACTTGGCGATTTATTTGGGCTTGTTCTGATGTTTAAGCCTTTTCTTTTTTTTAATTCCAATTTCTTCCTCGGTTACCGATTTTTCATGACACATCTGGAAGTTTAACTATCCGAAGTTTTCAAAACGAGTACTACTATATATATATATATATATATATATATATATATATATATATATATATATATATATATATCAAGTTATAAGGCAGGTATAGAAAGTTATACAAGTGACACGTTTCTGACCAATGTGGACCATCAAAATCATAAAATAATAAAATTCCCGTACGCTGTTTCTGATTTCTCATTTATATTCTCGATCTTTGACATGTCTTATTAAAGGTGAAACATATTATATTGACATTTGTTTCTTAATTCGTTCTATATTTCATTTTATCATATATATATATATATATATATATATATATATATATATAGATAGATAGATAGATAGAGAGAGAGAGAGAAAGAGAGAGAGATGGAGAGAGAGATAAAATGGACACTGAGGTCCACAAAAAAGCAGTGCCGTCTGTTTCATACATAAACGCAATTTCAACCAACCGTATATATATATATATATATATATATATATATATATATATATATATATATATATATATGTGTATGTGTATGTATATTTTATTTTACGATATTACATGGAAAACATGTCAAAATCATTACACAGTTGAAGTTGTGTTTCTATGCGCATCCAACGCATCTCATCAGGCGACTGTAAATTACTGGTGAGTCAAAGATTTAATCAGATTGAAAAGCAAAATACACCTTTTTATTTTAAGAAAAAGACATAAAGTAAAGAGGTGGGATGATTATAAGGTTTGTGGGCTTTGCTTAGATCAACCAACCAAATATGACCTACATTAAATACAAACTAAGGAAAGATGCAAAAATTAAGAAATTTTTTCCATACATAAGACATGACCCGTAGGTTTGAAATCATTGACAAGCAAGTTACGAAAAATAGGAACGCATGTACATGGATATATATTATACATTTAGACCATGACATTTACTAAGAAAAATTAAGTGGTAATCTAACAAAATGCTAGACAAGTTATATGCTTTTTATAGTTGATAAATTAATGGGTTTTTTATGAAATCAGCAAATAAGTTAAATCTAATAAATTAACTTGATAAATTAATATGCAACTGTTGACTAAAAATTCTTTATATAAGTAGTTAATAACATTAAACATTCAATGTAAAATTTCAAAATACCAACCAAGTACCAATACATCTGAACAAGATGAAACAAAGACTACCAGCGGATTCATAGTAAATTATATTAATCCCAAATCAATACTGACAGGAAGATAAGCCATATATGGTTCAACAGAGTTCAACTAAAATCAATGAAAAAGCATTGTCAAATTCCAAATTTAACTCATTTGAAAGGTAAAAGGCAGACTGTTTACAATTTACTCGGATCTTTGGTTTGATAAACCATTCTTATCAAAGAACCCGATACTTTTTTCGTTTAAGTACAGAAAACATGCTTCATATAAGGATCTACATGTCATTGACATCTTCATAATTTTCCATTTTACCTAGAGTTTTATTATCGTCTTTCAAACTCCAAAAATGTTTACAATGTGATGTACTTATTTTCATAAGTATTATTAGTAAAGGACAATATATGCTGATACCACCTAGTCTGGAAACATTCTTAGTATTACTCATATAGAATTTGTCAACCGTTTTTTTTACTGTAGAGCTATAACAAAAATAAACAAGTGATTTAGTTGAAATTTGTTTAGAAATAGGCATTGGTCAGGATTCCTACATTTACATTGGCCAGTACTTTTAACAACATTTCCCTTGGAACTTGTATCATAATTCAAATTATTAAATTGGTTTTGAGATTTATTGTGTAAATTTATAATCTTTTCAGGAATATCTGTGCAGCTATAACTCAGTTTTAGTGTTGCACCATATAAGCCTTTTCTCCCTATCAGTATTGATTTAGATCTAATAAAATTTTGTATTAATTTCCTGATATATCCGGATGTATTGGTATTGGGTTGGTATTTTACCATTTTTCATTGATTGCTCATTGTTATTAACACATTATAATAGAATCTTTAGCCAACAGTTGCATATTAATTTATAAAGTTAATCTATTAGATTTAATTTACTTACTGGTTTCTTAAAGAAGCTATTTATTTATCAACAATTGAAATGCTTTTTTATTGAGGAATCTCAAAAACCATATAACTTGTCTAGCATTTTGTTAGATTACCACTTAAAGTTTTTAGAAAATGCTATAGTTTTAATATACAATAGATATCCATCCACATCCCCTCTAGTTTTAACGCCTGTTGCTGTCATTGCTTTAAAAATTGCAGTATTTTGTATTAAGCACTCTTTTAAATTGAATCTTATGAACGTTAGAATTGTACTCTATTCGTTCTCATCTTACTTGGATATATATATATATATATATATATATATATATATATATATATATATATATATATATATATATATATATAGATAGATAGATAGATAGATAGATAGATAGATAGATAGATATATTAAACTCATTTAAATTAAATAAGTTTAAAGTGAAAAACAGCGAAATTTTATTTATCTTGGAAATCTCTTGAAAAATAGCTTTAGTTTTAGCTATCGTCGTCGAGATAAAATATTATTTCTACTATCTAAACTTTATACACATATTTGAAATATATACGATGAAAAAAGGAAAGAGATATATACGCAAACAGGTTCAATGACAGACGCATATTAATGAATTCCAAACACACAAGCAAACGCACTCACGCAGGCACATGAACACACAGTCACGCAGGCATACACACATTTATATCTATGCATGTATGTATATGTATAAAACCGTTACAGAGGCAGATATAAAGAAACTGGCTGTCTGTATCTGAGCCTTTGTGAATAATGTTTCCAATTTAGATCGAATCATGCTCACCTTAAAACTTTTTCCGGATAAATGGCATGTTCGTTTATCGATGCGACTCCTTTGAGTCTTTTTTCCGATCATAAATCACATTCGATAATCTCCCCTTTTTCAGTCGCACCTTTTCATAAGGCCGCCAGGACGTTGCACAAATACACGTTTATCTCCTTCCTGTCTAAAATGTGCGAGTGAACAAACCTAGAGAGTGAGTACGGTATCAAAGATGGGTGGTGCATGATGTAATTTAGCAAGAATCGGACATTTTAGTCGGCTCTCTGAAATAGGAAAGAAAAATATGACGTTACATCGCTCTAAATAATGATAAGTTGAAGATAAATGAAAAAATAGGGAGGGAATAAAAAGTCGTTTTAATTTTTTTTTAATATTTTTTTTGTTTGATGGAAGGAAAGTGATGGCAATTATTCCAATGAGGGCAGAAGAATATTGAGAAGGGAAAGAGTATAATCGAAGTAGATATACGATACAAAAAAGGGAGTGACAACAAAAGAACGGTTTTCATGTTCAGAAGATTGGAGTAATAAAAAATAAATAAAAATAATGAACTGATTTCTCCCCTATTTCTCTTATTTAGACTTGCGTCGTAATAAACCCAGCTTGTTCTAACGTCCAAAGTTGAAGAGAAATAGTCGAATGTCCGGTGAAAGTATTCAGAAGAGAAAATATAATCAAAAGAAGTGAAATAGCGAAGATAAAAAAAAAAAGTTGAAAAGAGAGCCAAAACAAAATGGAGATTTTGATGAAGCCAAAAGAAAAGAAATAAAGAAATACGTCGTAAGGTTGAAACAAAACAGATTTAAGTTATTACAACAAAGGAAGAAATGGAACAGGCTAAAAATAAAGAAAAGCAAAAAGAAAGAAAAATAAAAAGAGATACAAAGAAAAATGTAAATAAAAAGTAAGTAAAAGAACGAAACGAAAGAAAAACTTGCAATTGGAAGAAAGAAAGAATGACGTAAAGAAAAAACATGAAAATCGATCCATAGATAGATATATAGATAGATAGATAGATAGATAGATAGATAGATAGATACCATAAACAAAGAATGAATCTATTGAAAGAAAAGAGGAAAAAAAAGAAAGAAAGATACCATAAACAAAAAGAAAGAAAGAAAGAAAGAAAGAAAGAAAGAAAGAAAGAAAGAAAGAAAAATACTATGGTGATAGATAGATACATAGATAGATAGATAGATAAGAAGAAAGTAACAAAAGAAGGAAGTAACCTACTGATAATGACAGAAACAGTTATGAGCGAGATAGCTAGCTAGCTAGCTAGCTAGATAGCTAGATAGATAGATAGATACAAAAAGAAAAGAATGATTATACTGTGAAGAAAGAAAGAAAGAAAGAAAGAATGAAAGAAAGAAAGATTTAATTGATGGCCAAAGATAAATAGTTCAATGCAAACAGTTCAAAAATGCGCGTAGGAAAGAAATAAAGAAAGCTCAAAAGAAGGAATTTAAAAAGAATAAAACAACGAAACGAAAAAAAAAGACTTGTAATGGGAAGAAAGAAAGAATGATGGAAATAAAAATTGATTGCTTGATATATATATATATATATATATATATATATATATATATATATATATATATATATATAGATAGATAGATAGATAGATATAAGAATTTAAAGGAGAGTATGTAAAAATGCATGTAAAACACATGTATAAAAGAAATAAAGAAAGTTAAAAAGAAAGAACACAAAAAGGAAAAAAAAAAATAAAAAGAAAGAAATACTTGTAATCAGAAGAAATAAATCTTTAATAGAAATTCTCTCTATGAGTGAAATAAGGAAAATGAATTCTTTTACGGGAAATAAAGTTATTTAGAAGAATGAACAAAATGCATATAGTTCGGTAAAACGCATAGATGAAAAAAGAAGAGAAAGAAAGCTAAAAGAGAAAGTATTTTACTGCATCAAATAAAACAACGGAAGACATGGTGAAGAACGCAGATCACACAAGTTGAAGAAAACTAATTAGAGAGAGCCGGGAAACAAAAAAAGAATGAATGATTATGAGAAAAGTTTTAAAGAATAGCAAAAACAACGATGGAATAAATAAAAAGAAAAAACGAAATAGATTGAAAAATATAATTGTAGAAATGTAGAAAAGAATGTATAAAGAAAATATCTGCACGAAATCTTGAAAAATATACAATAGGAAAAAAATACAAGAAATATATTAAAGGCGAAATGAATGTAGGAAACGTAGATAAACCGTGAAATGACTAAAAAAATCGGGTAAAAAGAACGCCTGTGATATTTCCCGCAATTCCTCGTCTCAAAGTTAACCGCGCATGCGTAAATATCTTTTTGGTAAATCTGTTTTCCTCTTCACTTGAATAGGCATAAATCACCTGTGGGCGTTTGCGATATACAAATGGTATTAAAGAGTACACTGTCCCCATAAGAGTTGTAGGTGGATCTTTCCTTTACCCAGTTGATGTGCTGCTGAGATTTGTACAAAAATGAGTCAATAAAAAGAACAGTCCATCATTAAATATAAACAGGTTCTAAATGCACAAGAAAATAAAGATAAACCGAACTTAAGGAACTGTAAAGTACAAAAGAATATCTAGCTTTCTTTTAGATGCGACACATATATGAAATCAGTAATACAGGAAATGATATTTCTAATTGTTATATTGATATTATACAGTCCCCACGTTTATATTCGGTCAGTTTCACTTAGTTCTTATATATATATATATATATATATATATATATATATATATATATATATATATATATATATATATATATATATATGCGTGTTTGTGTGTGTATGTGTGTATGTATGTTTATATTTCGGTCAGTTTCCTTAGTTTAGTTATTATATATATATATATATATATATATATATATATATATATATATATATATATATGCGTGTTTGTGTGTTTGTGTGTGTATGTATGTATATTATATGGCCAAGTAGTTAGATTGTTCGCATTCCGTTCATGAGTCCCGAAGTCGAACCTCACCATGGTCGATTTATCAGGAAGAAGAATTCCTGATATTATCGGACGGGAGGGGTCGATCCCAGCGTGAAAAGTGTAGGAAAACCATACCTAAGCCTTGTAAGTGAAATTGGGTAGACGGATTCCTCGGGTGTCATCGATAGCTGTGCTAGAACAAACTCACAAGTCATCGTGCCCGAGGGTTAGAGCGTGCTGGCTTTGTTCAAACTGTTGATCACGCTAGATAACACGCTCATTCCCAGAAACTCTAAGGTCTGCTCAGCATAGTTGGAGTATAGATAACAGGTGGGCTTTGTGGGTGTTGAAGAAATACATATGCTCCTGAGCAAGCGTCTGCAATAGGGATTGGTTAGCCGCCCTAGTTGACGGGTATAAACCATAGAGGTTGATACGCTGCTAAACAAAATCAATCAACCAAGCAACCATTGAAGTCGTGTTTGCATTTCTGAGAAATCTTATAATTTCTATCCTTCATTTCTCTTTTTATAGTTCATAATATTACTTTAAAAACTTATTTTAAGCAAATTCCAATTGTTATAAAAATTACATTTAAGAAAGACTACCAATCGACAGAATTAAGACATGATGAAAAATATATTTAAGTCATAAGATTATTATAATATATATATAAGTAATTATTCCTAATCCGAGATATTGATTTTAAATATAATCAGAAAAAACATATTGAGTATTTTGACAATGGATGTGTGTATAGACAAACGGTTATCAGCGCGAAAGTGGGAATCATCGAATCGATTTCAATTTTCTTCCAAATTTGTTACTCTGGTTTTCGCCCAAATTCTGACTAAATAAGCATAAGGAAATTTACAACCCCACCCTTACAAATATTTGTTATAAAGGCACTATTTTTTAGTACACAGATCCCATTATTTATAAACATAATAACAAGAGAAGGTCTAGAAAGTCCATTTGTTTTACACCACGTCTCAACATCAAAACTAAATCAGGGCAAAATTTCCTAAGCATTATTAATAAACATTTTCCCAATAATAATCTACTTAGTGAAATATTTAATAAAAATACACACAAAGTAAGCTAATATTGTGCCGACAATCTTGAAAAAATCATTAACAATCAAAATAATAAAACCTTAATCAAATATGACAATTTCAAAAAGCAAGACGTATAGGCATGGTGCATTAAATGATACTAGTATTAATAATACTAATACCATCTGACGTAACTGCAAGAATTCCTATGATTAACCACTGCAAAATAATTATCTAGTCCCCTAGTTTATATTAGTATTATTTATGCACTTGAAAACCCGAGTATTAAAAAATAAACATTGGAAGCACACACAATTGTTTAAAATCAGATGATAACAACATGAACTATCCTTCAACAACAGTACTCATAAAAATAGCACTTCGTTGTCGAATTACTTTTAGAGATTAAAAGAGAAAAACAAGAATCCTCAGTTAAATGGAAACAACTTAGAAGGGCTCCGATCTGTAATTCTCTATACGCAACATATCATATTTTTCTCAATGCAAAATTGGAAATTATTCGATTAAAGGAAAGGATTAATATCTTAAACAAAAAGAAAGAACTTACTGTTAACTGTAAACATATTTCACCCTTTTTACAATACAAGTTATAATAATATGAATGGTTATATAATGAATTTGATATTGAAATATATGACTTAGAATTCGTCATAGTTATCTATAGATATATGTGCGCATGTACGTATGTGTGGTTGTCTCTATATCTGTTTATAAACGTGTATATATATATACATATATATATATATATATATACACACATATATATATATATATATATATATATATATGCATGGGCGTATTTATATGTATATATGCATGTATGTATGTCGGTGTATATGTATGTATATGCATATATATATATATATAACGTATATGTACGTGTATACTAATGTAGATGTATATTAATATATCTATATATGTGGGTGGTTTATTTGTATGTTTTTGTGCGTAGTTTGTTTGCACATGTGAGTTCATCTTCATACAAATGTATGCGTATGTGAATGTACGTATATATGAGTGTGTTTGTATATGTGTCTTTTTTATTTACTTTGTCTTTAGCTCGATATGTGTACTTCAACTACATATAAGTATTATGTATGCATCGTACAAATTCGTGTATATGCTCTTCTTAGTATTATTTACTCCTATTTGTATCTATATGCTTGTTTGCGTATGTCAAATATTGAAGGTTGGTTTGTATAGATTTATTAGTACATTTATGGTTGCATATTGGGCGTCTGTTTATTCATATATATTTATGTGTGCGTGTTTGTTTTTATATGTTTTTAACTGTATATACATATGTCTCTCGAAAATACATCCCTATTCATTGATGGTACGGTATTTAAAACTGTTGGGGCGTTCACATATCTTGTATGAAGAGACTTCTCTGATGGAAAAATGTATCCAGAATCCAGAATAACCAAAGCCAGCACAGCATTCGGTAAATTTATACATTGGTTATGGAACACCAAACACGCATCTCTCAGAGTAAATCTCGATACATAGAGACCAGTCGTTCTCTCAACCTTTCTCTATGGTGCTGAAACTTGGACCCTGTACACCAAGCACATAAATCAAATTGACGCCTTTCACATGCGCTATCTTCGTGCTATATGTGATATAAAATGAGATGACAGGTTCAAGAATGTTGCCATACTGAAGTCTAAAATATCACAGACATTGAAACAATTCTAGCAAAGATACAACTTAATTGAACAGTTCATGTTGTGGGAAGGGATGAGAACTACTAAACTCAAAGAGTTAAGTTGGACGTCGGCTCTTACGCTACAAAGACTAATTGAAGGACGAATTGAAACGTCTCAACTTTGATCAGATAACCTGGAAAGCCCAACCATGAAACCGAAAGGATTGGCGTAAGACATGTTTCATTAAGTTGAATGGTTTTGAAGAGAGAAGGCTGAAGCACCGGAATCAGCTTCATCAAGTTCTGAAGCAGAGACCCCATCAAAATCCTGCTTTAACTAATCTCATCTGTCAGTGTGGCTGTGTGTTTGTGTGTGTGTGTGTGTGTGTGTGCTCCTGTCATGTACTGAAAATTCTTATATCCACGAATTTGCACTTCGCCAGCTACAGATTTCCAGTATTATAATTTGTTTCTCTCCAGTGTACCCATTAACTCGTTAGAATGCTTTTTGTATGTGGATTAAAACTTTGTGAAGATGAAGTGATCTGTTTGAAAATCAACAC